TGCGACAAGTTTCGACTGACGTACCTCATCCTTCGTCATTTTTCTGGTGCTTGTCACGCTGGGAGGTCTGACTAGATTCACCTTTTTTTTCTGGAAAAGCCCTGCTACTTGCTTGAAGCCCCTATCGGTCATTACTGTTGTATTTTCAGGTACAACGGTCAAATACCCTGATTGCTTAATTAGTTCTACATCTGATGTGCGACCTCCAAACCCTTCTGATATAAAATTAATTAGCCCATTTGGAGTACTTGACACTAAATACTTGCATGTGTTACAAGTTTTATAATTGCTCCAGGTTAAAGCTTGCTGGTAAGCTGCACTAGGTCTTTCAACTTGTATTTCGAAGCAATCAATGATTGCTTCAACATCTTTATAATACGTCTGAAACTGCCTAGGTAGAACTCGCTGAATTTTACTTTTCTCAGGCCAAAAAATTAACTCGTTGAGTTTTGTAGCCATTTTTGGCAATGTTTTTGAAAATATATTACTGACACCACTAGTGCTTAATGCAAAATCTGTCCCTAATCATACAAATTGGTCATCTGTTCGTATTTTCTTAAGAACGATATAAATATGTTCTACAGGAACTTCTAATTCTTCCTGGAGTAATTTGATGAAAAAAAAATTCTGACTTGGGCAAGCCCAGATAAAATCTGCTATTATTTTCAATTTTGAATATTTCCACTTTCACCAATAGTTCTTTGGATATCATATTAGTTTCATGCAATGACTCCGATGATGGTTCATAAACACTTCCACTTTGGAGTGAAAGGGAGGATGATGACAATGATGTCGATGATCCCTGAATAGGTTTGTGGGGGCTTTGATATATTTGTGACGATAATGATCGAAGAGTGTTTGTGCTTTTATCTGCCACTTCAACTGAGGTCATTGATGACTGATCTTTTGTGCTAACTCTTGTCTGAGTTGCTTTTCTAAGAGTTCTCCTTTTTGTTCTTAAAGGAGAAACTGATTTTTCTGGCGATTTTGCACTAACAAACATGCCAGATGGTGAAGCCACTGTTTTTAATTGCAGTTCTTCTACATCCTCTGAAGTACCAGGTACAGTAGGTTCAGGAAACAGTTTCCTTCGAAGCCCTCTACTGTGCTGTTGTGTTTCCATCTTACGTTTCCTTGAAGTTGGTGTGAATTGGGACGAAGTTTCTTTCCTCACTATGCTTCTTGGAAACACATTGTCTTTTAACATTAGGCGTGTATCCATTAATTTGAAATGAATCCAATTTTCAGCATCCTTTTCCAACTTTATTAAAGAAAATTTGTTAATAAGGTGATACAAGTAGATACCGACATACAAATTTTTGAAAAATTTACTATACTTAGGTGCATCAAAATGATCTTCACAACAGTACAAACTTTTCCCAGGTATGTATGTTCTTCCCACAGCTTCAAACCATAACTTCCTCCGATCCACTTTTTGGGGAACAGTAAAAAATAATTTTTCTGGATTATTTGTAGAGTTATTATCACACCCAACGAAGAAACACTGTTTCGCCATCGTGCCAATTTTTTCTATTTAATTTGTTTATATGTATTTAAGGAATAAAACGAACAGGCCAAGTTGATCAAAAACACGTGCACACTCTGACCTACCTCAATATAATAAACCAGCAGGTTTGGCAACACAGCATCACTGCCATCGCTTCAAAGTGATTGGTTACACTTTTAACCGCGAAATACTGCAACTTTGAGCCGGTCTCTCACTCTTCTATTATTTTGACAATTTTTTTCAAAGCGATTATTTTTTATAAATAGTTCAAATTTGTTTTTTGTACATGTATTTAGATATTGTTTCAGAATGTTTAGTTAAGATTTGATTTTAAACTTTAGTGGAAAACCCTATTGCTCCAAAATATGAATGCATTGGTAAAGGGCAACGCTACGCCTGTGTGTATTTTTCCATTTGAAAATATTCCGATCGACATGTTATTAAGAATAGGTCAATTCTCGCCCGTGCAATGTAATATTAATAATGAAAGAATAACGTGTACCGTTCTTCTTTTAAATAAAAAATTATATAAATAACAGGGGTCACAACTTAAGGAAAAATTGGTTTAAAGAGTTTAGACAGTACTTCCCTCGCTATCGGAAACGTGACGATGGCATGCCTATTATGTTTTTTTTCTCATTACATTTTTGTAGTGGAGCATTTTAAAAAATTTTTGGGATGACGTCATCAATATTTTTGCAAGGACACGTATATCAGTTTGGATAGATGTAGTGTAACACAAAAAAAATAGGGCTAAGCGGTTGAAATTTATGCGCTGCGTATGGACCACGGCAGACTAGTGGCTCGCAACCGATGTTATGCATCGCGAAGAAAATTATGAGAAAACTAACGTTAACTGAACGTCAATTGATGATTTTAAAATCCATATCCACAACATAATAATAATAATATTTTTAATAATTTTCAAGTGTCGGTCTCGCTGAAAATAAAACTATTTCTGTAAATTATTAAAAATGATGCACAATTGGAAAGCGAGAAATTCGGCAAACTTTTGAGGTGACGTCATCAATTTTTTGGAGGGGACAAGTAAATATATTTTGAATAAAAACTTATCGTGCTAATCATAACTGTAAATCATCTGCAAGATTTCAAAGCATTCGGTTTTGCAGATTCCACTGCAACTACTTTTTTGTACTGTAGGGGTTATGAAACGTCGAGATATTTAATACGAAAGTAGTCATTCCTCGGAAGGACCCTGTCATACCACTCATTTTCATTAAGGAGTAATAAACACCTATACAAAACTCGCTTGACATACATACACCTTGTAAAACCCTTATAATGGACTCGAACTGCAAGGATTATTACTGTTCATTGTTGCCATAATGGAGCTGTAAAGTTTTACTAGGTACATGTGAACTGAGTTAAGTTATACAATAGCCAGTTTGACTTATAAGGGTGCTTTGACTTAAGCAGCTTAAGTCATAAAAGTTTTACAAGGTGTATGTCAAGTGAGTTTTGTATACATTTTCACCGTTTCGAAAAAACTTATTTCAACTTGTTTAAAAAATTAAATAAAAAACATAAAATGGATTGGTTTAAAATCTTGCCCGTGGATTACGTTAGGTATTGTATACACATTAAATGCTAATAAAAATTTATCCTTGGTGACGTTATCCTAGATAAATGATATCTAAAATGTGTAACATGTTACGCGTCTGCACTATTTATCAACGCACCCATATTTTTAACCTTAGTTATGCAGATTTTTGGACAAAATCAAAACTGTTTGTCTATCAGAACTTCAAAAAGTTCATTGGTTTTTCATTTAAAGTATTTTTATAATTACCATTTTTGATATTGATAAATTTTCCAATGTAACTTTTCTTCATTTAAGTATTTTTGAGTTATGAAGTTATTTAGACTATTCATGCAAATTTTGAGGCACAAGATAACATTTTTTCAATTGAAGCTTTCAATTTTTTAAAATTGAAAGACAGAAATAGGTTTTTCATATTTAGATTATAGTCTTAAATAACAGTGGCTTAAGCTCTGTATTATTCAGAATGTAGAATTCTTTTGACAATTTCAACATTTAAAATTAAATAAGTATTACGAAAATTATAAATTTGAAGTATTCCACACCGTCGAAACCACGTGTGTAATTTATTTATTTTGTACCTTTAGTTTTAATTTGTAATTTTAATTATCTATATTCTTTGTGCAACTTCTATTACTATAATTTAATGTTGTAGCAATTTTTCTTCATTTATTCTCATATTTATCATTTAACGATTTTCCAGTCACAAATTTGAAACCCATTTGTATTTGACGCAGATTCGTTTTGTCAATAGCGTTAGTTAGTATTACTAAACTAAAATAGAGTGTACCTATGTGCTACCAAAAATTAAAAACTGAAAAACACAATATAATACATTTCCTTCACCATAAAATAAATAAAATAATAAATGGATTTTAATTTGTTTAGAGAAGAATCTACTTAAAAAGAAATGTTCTGAAACCCGGTAGTAATGTTTTTAGATAAAAAGTTTAATTGTTCCTTGTTTGAATTTCAAGCTTTGAGTGTTTTAATAAACAGTGTGCTTATCGCGAGCATACAAAACATAAACATCGTGTTTAATTAAAGTGTATATTATTTTGCGGGTTCCGTCTCTGTTAACTGAAGATTGTTTGCATTTTTGAAATAATAAATTTAGTAGATAAAATTAGAGTTTACACTTGCATTCTACAATGCAGAGGGTTTTTTACTTTTGATTGTAACAACTTTGTGGTTTTATTTTTTATTTCTAGTATCGACGTTTCATGGCCCCTACCACATGAAAAAGTAGATCTTCCGTTTTCGTCTGTATCCGTTATTCGACAAGTAATCGCCGGACAGATGTGTTGTGAAATTTTAAATGTATTATTTTAAGAATATCGTTTACGTAATCAAAATTCATCTATTCAGACCACCAAAAATGTAATCGTTTTAACTTGTCAAGTGTGTAAAACAATTCGACAAAATTTCACAACTTACTTAGAAATGACAAAACCAAGAAAATTAAATCAACAAATACAAAAATGTGGTGTAGTCGAATCTCAAACATTAATATTTCAAGCTGTTGTGATGAATCACTGTTAATTTTTGTTTCTACACGTTCTGTTTGATTCGCCGAAATGAATATTCATGTGATAAGAAAATTAATTACGAATTCACTGCTACTCGTATTCACAATTAAAATGATTTATCCAATTCAACATATCTTCCTAAAATCAACGCTTAGTCTTACATGAATCCCAAAGAACTCCAAGCGTATGCAGCTCCTGAAATCTGACTAATTCATTTGACCTCCACATTATTAAAATTAATAAATGCCAATTCCCAATCCTAAAACATATCCTACTAAAAACGAAACTTTTCCCAAAGAGGCGTACCTCAACTCCCTATTGTTTCATGAATTTTTCATATACCACGTATGACTTGTTATTTTTGTATTAATTCCCAATAAAAATTCTCTTCTTTCTTTTCCAGAGATATTTTGTGATAGAAAAGGGTATTCTAGTATACGGCAAAGGCCCCAGCGAAATCAGTAAAGGAAAAATACACGGATCTGTCGATATTGGATTGTCTGTGATCACTACGAAAGCGAAAAGAAGACGAATAGATATAGACGCAGAGGAATTTATTTATCATTTAAAAGCCAAAAGCGACGACGCTTTTACGAGTTGGGTGCAACAGTTGACGGCTCATAGGTTGTATAGGCAGCATATTCTTACGTATGGAACGAACGTGGGGGCTTTGTTTAAACCGACAGATGGCCTGCACAGTGAGTAAATTTATTACTTGTAGTCATATGCCACAGAACTCTCAAAATGGGGAATTAATTGCCATGTTAATGAAATTTTCACACGAGAAGAGCTGTTGCGCCAAAACGGCCACTTTTACACACGATTTTGAAATATTCAGGATTAATAACCATTAAACGGTACAGAAGCTGTAAAGTGTTAACATAAAGAAATGTGTTTCCAGGAAAATTACTACACCATTGTTTGAATTATGGTTTAGAATTTTAAATAAACGTTTGCGTAGGTAATGGAGTAATCCTGAAGTGGAATGTGTCTTAGATTTAAGCCCATCACAAAATTAAATTGAAAAAACATGCAATTAATGATCGTTTAGTCGGCCACTAAAATATTTATCACCATACCTTTTATATATGTGTTTACGTGGTAAGCAGAAATTATGGGGCACATTTTCGGTTGAACCTATCGTTGATTTCTCAAAATCAGTCTGTAAATAAATAAGCAGGTTATCGACATTAATTCGGACAATACACGCTCGATATTGATGATATCAATAACGGGTGGTCTGTTTGTCTCTTTTTTTTATACATCTGTGATACTTTTCGAGCGATTTTGACTTAAACTGGAATTATTAAAAATAAGCTTTTAATGTATTTTCGTCGAAACCATTTATACAGCTTTTGAAAAATTCCATAAATTTTATAATTCACGCAATAAGATGCAATTAATATAAGCGGCATTTCGTAGATGAGTTGCTAAAGAGCAGTTTAATTATATAATTGCAATTTGTTTTAATTATGTCTGTGGTTGAGTGCGCACGGTAGCAGTTTCTAGAAGAAATCTAATGTCATACTGATATTTGCAGAGGGCTGTTTTTTTTATTTTCCCGTCCAGTATGTACGTCATATGGTTTTATGGAAATGTGTCTTAAACTGTATTCAAAAATAAAGAGAATGCGATAACTCAGAATTGAAACGAAATAATCAACAAATATTTGCTGTTACACAGAAAACAGTTTTGTGATGTAAAATGCATATATAAAACTTTCAGGTGTCAGATTGCACATGCTAATCGTACCTTTCCTGTAATAAAATTGTACGCAGTTGAACCAGACACATATTAAGTGTTTGTAATTCTTTCACGGGAAATGATCAAACTTGCTAATAACATAGAGCAGGGTGTAAAGATACGTACTATGCTCATAATATGAGCGTACTGAAAATGTACAAAATATGCTGTAACTATTTACACCTAAAGAATAGTCGTCTACTTAATTAAGTTTATTGTAAAAGTAATTGACGACTAAATGCTTTTCAATATTTTCAGCTAGAAAATTTTATCGTCGTGTTGAAAAACTTCGTTCAGCTTCAGCGGATGTAATTGGTGCGTATCAGCTTTTAAATTAAGTGCAGTAGTTTAAAATTTTCCGCTCAAAACTGTACTTGTTTGTTGCAGCAGTTAGTGTAGTCATTTTTTAGAATATACATTTTTTGTTTTTTAGTTAGTTGTCCGGAAGCTTTCATGTTTGCTTTAAATTATCTACCAAATTACCAGGTTATTGCGGTAACGGCAATTCATTTCCAAGATCTAAAGTTATATAAAATTTAATAAAACAAACTTCGTGATGTCACGAGTTTTTAATTGCTTTTTTTTCTAATTAATTTTTTAATAAAGTTGTCGTTTTCAACGTATAAATAGGCGACTTTTAGCTACGTTCCTCGCCTTGTGATTCTGCTTCGTGAGGTAAACCAGTGTGACGTGACAGTGTTGATATAAATAAATTCTTGGTGGAAATGTTTACAATATTTCTATGGTAATCTAATTTTAAGAACATACAATTCTTGAAATCCAATAATATAAGGGTTAACAAGTTCGTTAAAAAGAGAAAAGTATTAAAAAATCATAAAATCGAGTAGATCGAATTTTTTCGATTAATCACAAAAGTGTTTAATATTAAAAAAGAAAATAATAAAAACTTTGTTTTTATTATTGTCCTATATTTCCAATCCTGTTAATTAAATTACGATGTAAAAACATGAAAAACACTGTTATCATTAAATTCTTGTATAGCTACGAATACAGCAAATTCTTTTGTTTTAAAAGCAATATTCGAAGGTTTTAAATTTAAATAATGCTTTATTTTAAAAAGTATAGAAAATAATAAAATTCCTTAGTAACTTCATAGAGGAATTGTGTCACGTAAATAAAAAATTAAAGTACATATTTTAAATTTTGTAAACAAAGTAGTTTTTTGCAATTTTTTTTTCTGTTTTTAGAAAACTGAAATAAAGATTTTTTAAGTTACTATTGTGGAAAAAACTTCGAAAAAATAATATACATGTACTGAAGTAATAAAATCATCAGATCACCACTTTTACGTATATTTTATTTCATGTTACGCAGATATTACTCACTTTTCATAGACCTAATATTATCCCTATGCTGACCTTATTAAACCAGAGGATCAATACTGAAAAGTTTGTATAAAAATAAAATTGTCTTTAAATTAATGACAAGTTAGTTTGACGAAAATAAGTTAGCATTAAACTTGAACTTTGTTAAACTTTCGACCAACTAAAATGCTGCTTTATGGATTTTTGTTAATTAATATTGTAATGTAAATCCTATCCCCAATTAAGTTTTCTTAATTTCTTATATGACGTATTTATAATATCGACAATTGTGACTTTGTTGATAATTTATAACTTTTTTACGATAATTTTAAATTTCAAGTGTTGGATAAAAACACCAAAACGCAAAGATATTCCATTCCGTCAAAATCAATAATGGGTTAATATTTGTAATAAAGTAAAAAAATGAATTATTGTAAAATTCTACGAAAAATGTGTTTCAGTTATGACTTAATTGCTACTCAACTTGCGGTAATTTTTAGAGTTCGTCACCGTAGAGGTAGTAAAACCGCTTGACTGGGAAGACCTTCTTGTATTGTAAGAGTAATAAATAAAAAATATAATCTACTGTTATCTGTATAACGTACCATTGTATATTTCTTATAAAGTTTGTCTAAACTTATTAGTAAACGCCGCCAATTACTTTATGACGGGTTATAATTTTCTGACCCTCCTTGTACATAATTCTGTACATAAATGTGCAGAAAATATTACGTCAAACATTTAAATCAAACTTAACGAACCACGATTCTGACTGTTGAAAGAGAGTTAACCCCCTTAAAATTTGGCTGGTTTGTATGTAGTAAAAAAATCAAACCGCAATCAAGTGTTGAATTAGTATATTTTTTGATCTGTTTAGAGTTTATTAAATATTATATTTTACAATTTCTATGGATTGATTTATTAAACATACAGAAACTAGTAAGTACATTTAGACCCGGGTTATAGAAAGCGAAATTAAAATTAATTGGCGATTAACTTTTAATTGAGGTTCGTGCATGTTTTAACCAATCACAGGTTCATATTCCACATTTTAATCCTGTGTGAAATTAGTCGAGAATTAAATATTTAATTCGCTTTTCTATTAATCGGCTCTATATATTTTTTTTCATAAGGGAAGTCGAGGCTATCACTTGTACCATTAAAATAGTTTAATAATATTTTGCGATCCACGATTAACAATTAATTTCATAGGTTTTGTTTTATAGCAGTTTTGGAATTTTTCTTGTAATTTCGTAGGTAAATTATTGTAATATCTTGACTAACTATTTTATACATCCTAATTAGTAAAAGGGTGTTGTTTATATGCTACAGAAAAATAAAAACATCGTCGCAGATAAAATAGATTGCTTGAAAATAATTAAAAACCTTATTTTTATACAATTGTTTAAATTCAGTTTTAGAAATGAACCGTGGGAAAAAGTCGAGCATTGTTTTTCAATGGAATATTTTTTTCGCCTTAATAGATATTCATTTTATTTATGCCTTTAGTTTTTAAGTTAAAATCAGGAAAAACTTTGAAAAATGAAATAATCGTGATTTAATGTCACAACTAATAGTCTAGATACTTATTACAGAAACATTTTAATTTTATTTTACTGGAAAGATAATGTTGAAAACTAAATACAATTTTACTCTTTATAGTATTAATTGCTTTTATAGTTAGTAATATATACAGGCTTGCTAGAATGTATGGAAACGGTTAAATATCTTGAGAACCAATTGTACAAATCACCTGAAATTAGGTACTTATTATAGGGGTACAAGTTGTGCCCAAAAAAATTTTTTTCACAAGTAGCCATGAAGCATGCAAATATCGACTTGTTTAGAGGTATTACTTTTGCTACCAAGGTTAAAAAAGAAGATTGAGGTTATGTATGAAATACTTTATGTGATTATTTCTTAAAAAATGAATAAATGATAAATGTGCTACTAACATTAGTTGAGTATACGCATGGTAGTTGGTGGACGGTGAAAAATAAAATGATTAATTCAGCGACAAGTGTAAACGGTTTTCTTTGTGTTGAAGATTTAGGTTAAGTTTGATTATAAATCAAAACAAAATCATTTTGCATCAAAAAAATTGAAGGTTTTTTTTCAGTTTATTGTCTTACGGTTTCTACTAGTGAAAAAAAAATAGTATATTAATCATGTTTGTGAAGCCAATTATAAATAGAAGTACTATTTTTAACTTCATTTCTTTTCGAGATGCAAGCCCAACTTTTTTTTTTAATGTCACTACTACATAATTAATGCATTTTTGAATAGAGCTTTTTTTTCTGAATTTATTGATGTAGCACAATCATATTTTCTTTCTGATTGAAATGGCAAAATAAATTATTTTAAATAAGAATACTGCCAGGAAGTAAATAAGGATCATTTTTTATTTATTGTTTCAGAAAGAAAGTATGATTGTGCTATATCAGTGAATTCAGAAAAAAAGCTCTATTCAAAACTGTATTAATTACATATGTGGTAGTGTCATTTAAAAAAAATTAAGTTGGCCTTGCGTCTCGAAAACAAACAAAGCAAAACAAATTTTTGACGAATAATTAGAACACAACTTCTTGTACCCCTATACCTAATTTCAGTTGATTTAAACAATTGGTTTTCAAGATATTTAACTGTTTCCACACTTTCTAACGACCCTGTGTATGAAATTAGGTTTAAAAATTATAAGTAAAAGTAAAATTTAGCATATGTTATCCAAGATTTGATATTTGGTGTTTACTTGAAGTAAATGTGCCAATAGTTGTGAATCGTAAACACTGTGTGTTTGTGTAAACACTAATCAAATTGACAACAATATGATATCCAGTAGATAGTAGCGTGTAGAATTGTCCATGTTGTTTCTTTTCTGAATGGAAACTTTTTTGTTTTTGTTAATAAATACTACTGCAGTGTTCAATTTCGGCGATGTTTACCATTTTTTACACTTAATTCAATTTGGCGTGTAGCAGCTTTTTCCCGTAAATTTCATTAAGCTCACAACTTCCTCCACCAACAAATCCCATCCTGACTGATTTCGCATTAAATTGAAGGTATACCCAGAACACCAGAGATCGTAAGTCGTGATGGTAGCTTAACCCGGGGGTTGCAGCCCCCGCCGAGCTCGGGTCGGTTAAGCCTGTGGCTCCAAGAGTCCCTAACGTCCCTCGATCAGTTTCAAAGAGACGCGACAAGCTTAGAACAAAACATAACGAAGCTGTCCAGACTCCTGCAACAAATAGAGGCTAGTGCAATATTGGGAACGGAGGTTCGTCCTTCATAGTGGCTGCTAATAATAAAAGCAATTAAATAGCATTTTCAGTGTGTACCCGAGGCTCTCTCTCCCAACATAAAAAAAGACAGGAGGAAGTTCGGCTTGAAGAAGAAAAAGTCCGCGAAAGGCGGCAGCGTCGATTTAACCATCCAATTTAGTAGCGCTAATAAATCTTCAACTACTGGAACGGATACCGACAACACTTCTCCACTTTCCGTAATATTGGATTTACGAGGTTTGATTATTTTTTAAGTTTTGTGTTTCAGGCTAATTCGCTTTCGGTGCTGTCGACTTCTCCCCAGCAACTTGGAGTCAATACTGTGGCTAGCTTGCCAGTGCCTATTAATGCTACTACTCCTACTCCTGATAGTCTTAGTAACGTAGATGTTATTTCTTTGTCGACGGAAAATCAGCTGAGGGAGGATTTTTTGTCTTTGGCGAAATCAGGTAATGTCGCAACGTTTTATTGAACTCATATTTTAGTGCTTCTGAGACCATTAAATGTCATTTCGCAGACATTTTTTAAAAACTAAAACAATTATAGTGTGTGGTAGTAGGTGTAACACGAGCCAAAGACGAATGCCACAAACTATTTACATGGAAAAGATTTGTGTTCCAAGTAGAACAGCGGGGAGTGAATTAAAATAACTCTTGATAACAGTAAAACACAATAATTGTCACGTGGTAATATGTAATAAGTGCAGTGATAACATAATTTACTAATAGTCCAGTCAAATTAGCGATCAACCTCGGAATGAGAGATAATAAGCTGAATTTTCGTATATACCTTCATTTTAGCGTTCTAAAAGTTGTCTCAAAAATCTCATAAAATCTCGTGTCTGCGTCGTAAGTTATTCAAGGTCAAAGGTGAAGAAAAACAGTTTTTTGCGATTATCTCGGTTTCTATTGCTCCAATGATGTTAACATTTATTATCGTAATTGTAGAGCACAAAATTTGGGACAAATTTTATTTGAAACATTTTTTCATGCGCTCAATAGTTTTTGAGATAGAGGGCAGTGCGCGCGCAGCGCTCATCCATACGTACTGTAATGCAATCAACCGTGAATATCTGTGAATACTACCTTTAATTTTGAATAATTTGTATTATTTATCAGTTAATACATTGCATTTAATAACATTTTACATATTTTCAATACATTCATTTAATGATAATGATACTTACCTACTTTGTGGAATTAAAAACTCTTTAAATGAAATACTTATTGTATGTATATCTTAATTTATTGAAAGTAGATTTTAAGTAGAAAAATAATTAAGTACTTTATCTTTCAAATGTGTAAGTTTTTATATATTAGATAATATATTATACTTGTTATATTATTATATATCTAAAAGTTATATTAATTTTTTCAAAGTAAAAATTTAAGGAAGTAAAACGAGTTAATGTATTTTAATTTTATCTTTGTTCAGTACCTGTACATTTCTTACGATTGAAATTAAATTGATAGTGAAAATCTAGAAATCTTTAATAATTTAAAGAACAAAAGTATTAATTTTCTGCTTCTTCACTGTCATCTTCTGGACGTTCGGGAATTTCTGTTTCATCGTCATCATCTTCGGTGCCCTGAATCGTTGTTTCCAGACCTTCCAGTTGTAATCATGATAGAAAAATAAGTACTTAAAACCTTACACATTTTAAAGATATAAATAAATTGAGATATACAATAAATATTTCATTAAATGCGTTTTTAATTACACAAAGTAGGTAAGTATTATTCAATTAATATGTTGAAAATATGTAAAATGTTTAAATACAATGTATTAATTGATAAATAATACAAATTTTTCAAAATTCAAGATAGTATTCATAGATATTCACGGTTGATTGCATTACATTACGTATGGATGAGCGCTGCGCGCTCACTGCCCTCTATCTCAAAAACGATTGAGCGCATGAAAAAATGTTTCAAATAAAATGTGTCCCAAATTTTGTGCTCTACAATTATGATAATAGATGTTAACATCACTGGAGCAAGAGAAACCGAGATAATCGCAAAAAACTGTTTTTCTTCATCTTTGACCTTGAATAACTTACGACGCAGACACGAGATTTTATGAGACTTTTGACATAACTTTTAAAACGCCAAAATTAAGGTATATACAAAAATTCAGCTTATTATCTCTCATTCCGAGATTGATCCCTTTTTTATCCTAAAATGACTGGACTATAAGAATTAGTTTACATCAATATTATCGTTACCCAAATGTTTATATCTATTATTATGATTAAATGGACAGGAAAAATGGTATATTGAACTGCTTTTGGGATTATGTAAAGGTTATCTTGTTTCCTAGCGCAAATTAAACTTTTTAGACCACGAAATGAACTTCAGTTTTGATTTATGATAACTAGAACAGAAGTTGTATAACTTAATACATATTTCTGTAAATTAAAATTACAAATTTAATTATCTATTACATAAGACTTGACAATGCATTAGTTTTTTTTGGTTTTTCAAGTTATGCACGATTGTATGGTCAGTTTCACTTTATCTTTCAATTATGAGATTTAATTATTTGAAAGTTATAAAACGTTCACAATGGTAGATAAAGCGATGAAACTACCTACAAATTTTGTTATGATAGTCAATGATTATTGAAGCAATTATTTACGTAAAAAGTAGTTTTATTGTGATAAAAAACGATTCAGAAAATTTTAATTGAGTTCAGCTCAGATTATTATTGTTCCTGACGCAATTGTTTGCCCTAAATAAAGTGTGATTGATAAAGGAAAAACTTCGGTTCATACATCAAACAAAGCATTACGACATTGGCGTCTTGTGATATAACTTTCCACGTGGTAATAGGACTGCTGACAAATTTTAGTGGTTTATAATTATAACCTAACAAATTTGCAAATTGTTAGTGCTTTTATGTAGTACCTTGAGTTATTGCTATTGTCAGGCACTAGATGACTTAAAAATTCAATTCAATTTTGTTACATCATGTATAGTTCCTAAAGTTTTTAGGTTAAATTCTTTAGTTTTAGTAGTATTTTTATTTGACTAAAACAACAGAGTTGCCGTAGACGAAGCAAATAGTGACAGTTTTATCACTTAATATCTACTAGTTTCTATAGTTCACGTTGTTACTAACTTCAGGGTGAAAAAATAGATGTACAGAGCCCAAGGAACGTCAATTACTTATGAATGTAATTTTTGGGCCTCTATCGCCACGATCGTGTTAAGATGTATTGTTTCTCTCTCATACGTAATAGAATATTAAAACATTAAACAAAAAAATGGCAGCATTATAAAGCTCGATAAATGACTAATTGTTCACGATCATAAATAAATTTATGGCCAGTTTAAAAATAACTAATATTATTGTATCAAGTCTAACCGGATATTGTAGTTGTAAAGTTTTTTCTGTAAGTATTTACATCTGTGCACCTAATTTTTAGACAACATTTCATTCACGGCAGTATGGCATGCACTATACATGCCATATCTACGTTACCAAACAGAGTCCGGTATTATATGCATCAGAAGTTCCACAACAAAGAATGTGTGCATGTTTGTATGTATCTGCCATTAAATACGTTGCAAATGTCGAGTGACTAATAATGTTTGTAAGTTTTTTTGCCAGATTTGTAACGTATTTAAAATTTTATGATGGAGTACCTGATTGTCATATTGACATTTATAACACCAAATCAGTGCATAACTAACTCCATTAATCTCTAAAGAAATTGTCATCTTCTCAACACGTTTGTTAGGCACGCTCATGTCAAAATTGACAACTGTGAACTTACGTATATACAGGGTTTCTATAAATGATTATAGGGTCGCAGTAGGTCATGTAAACATGCCGCCTCTCAAATTTAACTGTACGGAGATCCGTACTAAGTGCCCAAGGACGCATGACAAAGATCACACATGTGTAGAACTGGTTGCCTAAACGCTTATTTTTAAAAAATAAAACTAATTCATTACGATTAAAAGAAACAAATTTGTTGCGGTTAAACATCACAGTAAATGTTGAAAATGTTCATCATTCTGTTCAAGCACATGTTCACTCTCTTTTTAATTTCAAATGTTCTGTAACATTCTTTCGTCAATACTTTGGACCCGTTGTTCAATTATTCAATTCTGCTCAAGTCGTCTCAAGTTATTAACCACTTCCCCAGATACGTAAAATCATCCACGAGAGTTCTTTTTGTCGCCACTGCCAGTTCGAACAAATCTGTTGATTACATCTCTAATGTGAGCCTTTAACGATGTTCCTTGAATTATTAATTCACGGTATTTGGGCAGATATTCGTGCTTACAAGCGGTCACAGAATACACACATTCTTCGTTTACGAAGTCCCATTGCGACAGCAAGACATAACGATGAAAGTGTCTTGTTCAACAGAATCAACCATTTTTCCAGGAACAGAGCGACAACTTGAGAGACGTCTGTAAGAGTTAACGGAATTATTTTCACGTAAAAACGTTTGTTTTTTTGCCGGTCAGTGTAGATACAGCGGAACGAAAACTTTTATGTTTTTTTTTTATATAATTTTGAAATTTGGTAACGTTTGTGACATTTCTGGTCGCAGAACGAATTCAAAAGTGAAGTTTTGAACTTGTATATTTGTTGCAGTTCTTGGTAGTATTAAGAGTCTATCGTTCGGCCTAAGCACGGAACGCGAAAGACTTAAGTCGGCTTTAGAATTAGAAGGAACCGTCAATGTCAATCAAAACGTAGTTAATTTAAGAAACAATCTAAATCAAGTTCTTCAACAAAACACAGAACTGAAGAGTAGACTGTTACGCATACACGAAGCGTCCGACTTGACGGACCTCTCCTCGCTCGAGCAGCTGTCGGAGAACGTAAGTGCCGAAACCCCAGCAGCTTTCCGACGACCGTTTTTCGTTTTGGTTTTGTTTTGTCTCACAGCATCGTCCCTATAACGCTTCGTTGAGCTATAGTTCCTCGTGTGTGAGCGCGACCGAATTTTTCGATGCCGAAGACTTGCCGACCGAGAAGCCCACGCTGGACATCGAAGATCCAGAAATACAAGAAGAGGAGTCTGAGGTGCGTACACGTTCTGAAAGTAGTTCGGAGGCGGGCTCACTCTCCAGTGGCGAAGGCAGCATTAGTTCAGAGTCGGAACTTGGTACTGAGCTGAACACGGTCAATAATTCGCTAGATTCGGCAGGTAGGTGGCTTCGGTGGTAGTTCTAGGGGGATCGAGACGTGGGAGGGGCGAAGGTGAGTCGGTAGATTGTACCCATGAGATTGGTAGTTTGTGAGTGTCCCCTTGTTCAATTTGGAGTTTTATGTGGCGTTTGAAGCCGTAGTGATTTTTTTATGATTTTGATACGAATCAGAAGTCACGAAAGTACAAAAAATGTAGGCAAATAATAATGAGAAAGTATATTTTCATAATTCCATATTTCTGAAAAGAATTGATTTTAATAATGTACGAAAACACTCAACTATGAAAAGACGAAACGAAACGTTATTAGGTTAAACCCCGAAGAAATTACAAAATAGAATGACGGTATGACCACTATAGTTTCTTATCCTAAATTCGCAAGTGAACCCGTTCGGATGCTTTTATGTCTGTTGAGACCTTCTATTGGTATGTTCTTCTTAAAGTATTTCCACTCCACTGCTAAGGGATACATTTTTTTTTCTAAGTAAGTTAAAGCTATTTTAAATTCAATTTATTAAAACTACGTTCACAGCAAATAAATATTGTTTGCGCACAAATTAATAATGGTTCCATGAAACCTTTAGCTATAGTATTAAATTTATTTCTAGTGTACAAACACAAAAGGGAAATATAATACTTTCTAACACAATGGTATGTGCATTGAGTAGAGTGAAATTGTAAAATGCATAAAAATCATAGCAAATTTTCATTTCGATTTTAAATAATGATTTTGTAACTAGTGCATTTGACAATGGCGTGAATGCATTTTTGTTAATTTCATGGTGCATTTAATACAACACTTACGAATCAGGTGGGGTCACATTATTGGCGGGAATTTTTAAACAAAATTCATAAATTGTTTAACGTGTTTTTTTTACGAAAGAGCATTTAAATCACTGTTCAGTGTATTTTTTTTTAATTTTGTTGTTAAGAAAATGGTTGAAGATTAATGATTTTTTTTAATGAAAAAAGCAAAATTTTGGAAAAAATTGTTTCCGGTACTAATCTAAGAGTGTATTTATTTGTATGTCTTTGCCAGATTTCTGACTGTTACAGTCATTTCCCAAAATTTGGGACAAGATGAGCAAGTCAGGTTCTCATAGATCAATGAAAAGCAATGGGAATATAACTTTCATGTCCTTGTCATTTGCCCGAAATTTTGTGGAAACAACTTTATGTTAGAAGACTTCTTCGACTTTTCATCTTTCCTGTCTTTTTTGAAAAGGAGGTTCCGAAAATTAAAATTAATTAAAAATATAGTGGCTTGTATCTGATAGAAGTATGAGTATGAGTACTGATTAAGAATCAAACTGTACATCACTGTTTTCTGCTTTCGGTGTTTAATAAAAATGCAGTTGTACAAATTTACTTCCCAAGCCAGCTTGAAAAATGTACACTTGACCAATAGCTAATATCATATTTTCTCGACGTTTCGTAGCTTGTAGAATATGGAAAACTAGATCTCCCGTTTCCATCTGTCTGGTCTGTATGTCTGTCTGTTAGAGATTTTATTAGATAAGTAATCCCCGAAAGTTCTGGACAGAAGTGTTTGTTTCTACGTCCCTGCTAAACATGTGCTGACGTTATCTCGAAATTTTGCTGTATAAATCCTCTCTAAAATGCACAAAATATTAAATATATATATTTATAGTTTATCAGAGTATTCATATTTTTATTGCCATTTTTGTCACCTTTTGTTGTGTTTTTTTGTTGCATTCTTGGTCTCTTTTTATGTAACCTTTTGTTCGCATTTTATTGTCGCTTTTTTCGCATTTCTGGTCGCCTTTTTTGTATTTTTCTTGACCCTGCTAAAAACTTGATGACGTCATCACAAAATTTTATTATGAAAACATACGCATATGTTTCTTCACCTGCAGTTTAACAATTCAGTTTATTTAAGGAACTAGTTTTGTTTGATTGGGTTTCAGTGGCGAGGAATATTTTGTCTAAATAACTATAGACCATTTTTTTCATAAAAGTAGATAGTGTGGTGTATCAAATGAGTGAGTTTGATTTACGTTAAAAAAATTCATTTTTAGGGTTATGAAATTCCTATAGTTATCAGTAATAAAAAGCCAAAACTACGAAGCATTCTACTGAGTTGCTTCAATTTTATCCTCAGTTTTTAACTGTAAGTAGTCATAATGTCAGTCATACATAGTTCACTTTTGATAAGTTTAAAAACTAATACTTAACAAATCATTTTTGTTGAAAATTAAAAAAAAATGAAACCGACAAACCACATTTTCGATATGTTCTAAAACATTACTACAATAATTTTAGAAGATATTAACATTTTTTTAAGTTATTTTTCTTTCATTTTTGTACACATCCACCCCCGTACGTCAGATTCATACAGTATGGTCAAATAATTTTATAACATACGGAGTTGGATAGCAAATTAATAAGTTTTTCATCGCATTTTAACATTTTTATTATACATCAACATGGATTGACAAAATGTTGCCACACAGAATGTAAGAAGAACACAAGTACAAGGTGATTACAAAAGTTACATAATCATAGGATCAGAGTTATACACAAAATTTCAATATAACCTAACTGTTTTCAGGTTTTGCGGAGCCTGATAAGTAGATAACCAATAATTAAGTTGGAATGCTTAATTTGCTACCGGCCTCAATGAAAGATCAACTTCTTATTAAAAATGTAATGGCATACTTTCCAAAACCAATTCGATGTACGATCTTTTATAATCACTTCGTACTAATTTAAATAGTTAATCTTACTCGTGTGGTATTTTTTTAAATTTGACCATCCTGTACGTCGTCCGCACTATTGAACAAGGCAACGTCGACATGGGTAACATCAACTGACTTAACTTCCCCTTCTACCTCATCAACAGTACTAACCCGACGCTCGTCCCCACTTCCAGGTTCGCAAGGACTGACCGGCCGAAGGACAGTCCTCCCCGCGCCCCGTCCCCACACTGAAGGTCTCTCATTGTGGAACCTTCTCAGCAGAAACATAGGCAAAGACCTGTCCCAAATCAGCATGCCAGTAGCCCTCAATGAACCCCTCAACGTCCTTCAAAGGCTGTGCGAAGAACTCGAATATTCCGAACTCTTGGACAAAGCGGCTAGCTTAGATGACCCTTATGAGCGCATGGTGGAGATCGCGGCCTTCGCGGTTTCAGCGTACGCAAGCACCTTGTCCCGCGCCGGCAACAAACCCTTCAACCCTTTGCTAGGGGAAACCTACGAATGCATTCGCGAGGATAAAGGGTTCAAGTTCCTGGCCGAGCAAGTGTCGCATCACCCTCCTATAAGCACTTGCTACGCGAAGAGCAACAATTTTACGTTTTGGCAAGACGCGAGAGTCAAAACAAAGTTCTGGGGCAAGAGCATGGAGTTTCAGCCGCTGGGGAACGTGCACGTGCTGCTGCCGAAAACCGGCGATTTGTACACGTGGAATAAGGTGACCACGTGTGTGCACAACCTCTTCAGCGGACAGCGGTGGGTCGACCAGTACGGCGAGCTAAGGATTTCGAATGGGAGGATCACGTGCAAGTTGACGTTTTCGAAGGCCAGCTACTGGTCGGCGAAGAGGCATGAGGTGAGTGTCGGAATTTCGTGTTCGATCTTTAAATGAATTTGTTAATTATTCTCTAAAATAAAACACAGTGACACGCCGATATTAATTTGACGGATTATAATTTACATTATTCTTTTTCTCAAGATAGATCAATGTTTAAAGATAATTTTTAAATATTATTAATGCATTATTTTAAAATTACGATTGAGAAATTACGAAATGTAAATAATAACTTAGGGAAAACCATCCAAAACTTTCGATATATCGTTATTAAAATAAGTTAAATTTAAATAAGTGCATTTCTACCACATTTACATTTGCAACAACGACGCAAAATTGCCCGTTTGCAAAATTTAACAGACAAAATTTAGCATACCGTTTCAACGCCAACACTGTCAACTCGAGAAGGCCTGCTCGTTCGATCCACAAATTCTATCTACTCTGCATTTCAATACTCTCTTCCACTATCAACTAAGGGTTTAATTCCGCTATTATTATAAAAGTATGGCGTGAAATCAGTGCTTAACTGTATCTAATTTTTTTATTATATTATGTTTTTCTTATGTGTATATAATAAAGGGGTTACGGTATAATATTATGATTATGAAACTCCTCCAGATCGTGGGAGCCGTCCTCGACGAGAACGGCAAGACGGTGCACCGCCTCTTCGGCAAGTGGTCCGAGTCCCTCTATTGCGGCGTGCCACCCTCGGCGCGTTGCATCTGGCGCGCTGGCAACTTGCCGCCCAACCACGAGCGCTATTACGGATTCACCCGATTCGCGATCGAGCTGAACGAGCTGGGACCCGACGCGCACGTGTTGCCGCCCACGGACACGCGCTTCCGGCCCGACCAGCGGGCGCTGGAGGAGGGTGACCTCAACACGGCCGAAACGCTGAAGATGCAGTTAGAGAGCGCGCAGCGGGACCGCAGGAAGCGCAGGGAGGAGCTGAACGTGCTGTACGAACCGCGCTGGTTCTCCAACCAGAAGGACGATACCTGGGAGTACAACGGAAAGTACTGGGAGACGAGGAAGAATCCCGGGTTCGCCAACCTGCAGTTCGAGTCGTTGTGGTAATAGGTAAGGTCGCTGCGCCATCTAGGGTTAGGTTTCGTTGTGCGATACAAAACCAGTGATCTGCATAGGAACTCGTGCAATTTGTATAGTGATTTGAGTATTTTTTCATGTTTTCTTGTCGAATGCCATGCTTGTGCCGGTTTCTTGGAGTTCGAGGATGTTTCCTTTTTCGTTCTTAGCAATACAGTTTTAAGATTTTAATGGAATGAAATGTAGTGATATATACGTTAGGTTAGGTAGTACGGCATTTTAGTTAGGTAGGTTACGCAAAAATCAAGTTTTAAATTGTGTATCGATAAGAGATAAAATTCCACTTTGAAACTTTCCTATCTAGTCACTAATTATTGTTCGATAAGGTTAAAAATGTATTGTTATTGTTGTAACTTAATATTTATTTTTATGTTAAGAGGTGTAACTTTTTTCAGTGGTCTTTTAAATGTTTCAGAGATGTAATTGCTACATTGTTCATGATTAAAGTGTCTTTTGGAATTATTGTAGAATTAGTTGGATTTTTAAGTCAATGAAAGAGTGACAATAATCACTACAACGCCAATTGTTTGAAATGCTTCATTTTATAATAAGCCTTGCTTCTTTGACAGGACTATCTAGACATGGAAGTTATCACTTGTTTAAATTTTGTTATTAGTAAAATGCTCTTTTAAAGGTGAAGGTTAATAAAAATGTTAAGCATTAAGCCCTTTATTTTTCCTTTTGCAACAGTCAAATAAAGCTGCGTACATCGTCTTTCTACGACTGTGGGTAGGTACGAATTTGTGTTATTTCTACGTTGGTTCTGAAATTTAAAGTTTATTATTTTGAGGAATATCGACCGTTTTATAGGATGGAAAAGAGTGTAGTAGAAAAATTTACTACTGGAATTTTGTTTGTATATAAAAAATGTTACAAGGTTATAGTAGTCCCAGAGTAAATTCGTTTTTACGACTATATCCTGTTGTGGGAGAGTTAACTTCTTCTACAATAGGCCTACAGGCGATGCAGGATAGACGGGTAAGCTAAGCCTAGTCTGTCACCCATCCAAGTCACCTCGGGTAGTGTAAGAATTTTTTAACTTACATGATCGCTACACCGGGACTTTAATTTGTACTGTACCGCAGCGCTATTTATTTCTTATTATTTTAACATATTCGAGGTTTGTCCGATATACATGAAATTATGAGTTGATATAAGCAAACATGTATCTGTTTCTAGTGTATTTGCCGAGTAAAAATTTGTGTTGCCTCATTATCGCCAGTGTATCGATAACAGAAAATTAAAATTTCCGACTTATATTTCCATGTGTCCCACTGATACATTTTCAACCTTTTTCCGTCCGGTTCGCCCAGTTTTACGGTTTTGTTTAAAGCTCATGTATACCTTCCATTGAAGTTTATATATTTTTATTGCTTCGTACCCTAGTTAACTTTTTGAATTGGCGCGCCAATCACTCAAGAAGATCTCAAATTAATTATTTAATACAAATGACCTACATTTACATATTCGCCTAACTGTCGTTCAACATAATGACTAACCTTTGATCTAGAGACTGAGTTAATTATTATTATTCATTTTAAACCTCACCAAAAGTAAACCAAATCACCATAGATCTTAGGCAATACACAATTATTCATCTTTCCCACAACTATTATACTGAGTCATCATCATACATACAACCATCCGCTCTGGGTATAGATGCCCCAAGATTACCTCTACGGCCGTTAAAAAATTTTAAGTACACAATCTTTATAATAGATACAAAAGAAAAAGGGAAAATTCCATTCCTAAGTGTTATACCACAACAAAAAATATTACGCAACTAAAAATTCCCATTTCACTATCAGTAACAAGCCCTAAGACATACATTCTTAGCGTGGTTATTTAAAATTTTCTTGTAGAAGTAATCATCCAAATAGACGGATTTGATTTTAGTTAATGTAAATAAAAATAATTGTAAACTTTGAATTCCAAATAATTAGGAGAGTTGCAGTTACATTTAATTTAGTATAAAGTACCAAATTACAAATTTAGATTTATTCCTATTACAGTTTATACAGTGGAGAGTGGAGGTCAGTGTGTGAGATTTTTTTTTACTCTACGCACGTAAACAATCATTTACCAAAAACTTGAGAAACATTCTGTGTACGTATTTTTTTACCTTTGTTTGCTTTTTATTAGTCCTTAGCAAAAAAGCACTGGGATAAGTGATAACTGATAAAGTGATAACCCAAACATTCCGCCGAAATTGTTGCATGTGAATGAACGGTGATCGTCAACAAGATAGAACCCTACGTTGCGTTTTGAAATGGCGAATTTGTTCTAATGCAAGTGGTGGATCGCAAAGGTGGAAAAGTGACCTTGAATTTACGATACAAAAGTATGGCGTGAATAATTTTATTAAGTTCTTTAAAAAAAACTGTATTATCTCAACTATAAAATCTCCTTGTTCTTTTCAAATGCAAGGTTACAAATTTCGATGAGAATAGATGGCAATACACACATCATGGTGGCGTGATGGTAAATTTTTCATTGACAGTCGGATGAAAAGAGCACGATTTAATTCAACAATTTAAGGGACGTGGAACGGGTAGCGCTACCGATTCTAGGCCCTGCCTTTGACTGTCTCTTTACACTAACCACAGCTACGTATGTACAACCATGCCACGGTGCCCCTGCAAGTGTCTGCTATCCCTACTGTATCCGCTGGCGCCTGCGGCAGCTGCTTCAAGTTTTATTCCCCAATTATACTCCATCTCTCGCGTGACAAACAGCGTTGACTACCCCCAGCAGAGTTTCGTCTCCCAGAAGGACGCCCTCCGAATATCTCACGTTGGTAAAATCCGGTATTGCGAAAAAAACAGTCTTCTGAATGAAAGGAAAATTATCACTTTGGATTTGGGGATAAAGCAAAATTAATGGGTTAAGACTCCATCGTGGATAAAATTCCCCATCACAAAAAAAGCATGTTAAATATGGTCTGCATCATAAAAATGTCGTTCGGTACACACTTCATTATGAGGAGAATAAATTATCCAAAATTCAAGTCATAGAACACATAAATCATGACACAAACTCCTCTTCGAATTCATGATGATATTTACTTCAATGATAATTTTCAAAGAGAGTCAGGGTTTTAAAATTAAATCGTGAATACTGCCAATTACTATTTCAAAATCCCCAAATGAGAATCTATCAAATTAATATAATATTTAAGTTAGGAAAAACCATCCATCCCCTTAGACATTTCACAATTTTTTGAAAACATTGTATAATAGTTATTTATCTTATTAGTGGGATAGAGCCATTATTACAGCATTACGAGTGTGAAGATTGCAGATTGTGTAATCACACGAGTTGCTGTAATATGCTCTAGCCCACGTATGAAATATGTACAAAACTGTCCAAAAATGAAAAAGAAAAAAAGCTAATCAAACTTTTTTATTAATTAAAAATCAAGAACCAAGAGAATTTTTGCAGTGTTATGACAACCATGTGACAACCGCTCAAATTTGTTGTAAACAACGCGTCAGTTTCTAGAAAAAAAATGTTGTTCAAATGAGTGATTACAGATTCTGAAGCAGAAAGCCTGCTTTTCGACACAGATCTAGTGTATTCATTGTTCCCTGATAAATCAAAAACCAAATATGAAAAATTTTATAAACGGTTCACTGACTGGTGTGCATCCAAGAAAATAAATAATGAAGCATAAGGGAAAGTGCTGCTGGCATTTTTTGAAGATTTGTCTAAAAGTTATAAGTACAGCAGCCTTTGAGCTGTATGTGAAGGTTATATCGACACCTCGATTGAAGACAAGAAAAAGACCTCTTTTGATATTCTTGGAGGTGAACCTGGAGCCAGAACAAGTACTGCCAGCAGCTACAACCCAGATTCAAGTATTGTTAGAAGAGAAGTCTTAAATACTAGAACTGTAACAAACATTTTTGTACGGCCATTGCTTTTTCGATCATTTACCGTATAGGTTTCCATAGCAGTAAGTTCAGTTTACGGGTTGGTACGACTAACAACTAATAGGCGAACGGTAAGTAAATTACTTACTGTTCAGCTGAACGGTAAGTAATCATGCATTCAAGATTTTTTTTATTTTAAACTCCATGCGTGTTCGACTTCGACATTTTCGCTTTCAGAATCACTCATGATTGATGTTTTAAGCAAATAAATCACTCACTAATAGTCGCGGAAAGAAAATTAACTCGAAATCAAGCCAGATCAAATCTAAATCGACAGCGGTCAAAATGGAAACTGATTTTTAAAATTGTTGTTTATATTAATCGAAACCGTAGTAACAAATTTTAAATTAAAAAACGACCTTGTTGATGTTTGATATAAATTCTTTCAATTTATGAATTTGATAAAAAGACGCAAAACTTTTGATGGTCGTACAAAAAATAGTATAAGCATCACGAATGTTAAGGGCGTTTACTGGTCTCAGACAAATTGGTGACGTCGCTTCGCTCCGTCTCCAAACTTTTGCCTTCGACCAGTAAACACCCCGTACCGTTCTTAATACTTAATATACTATTGCCAACAAAAGCATTATGGACAAAGATACAAATCATTTAATTTCATCTGGTATTAATATCAGTAATTGGAAGGAATGTATTATCGACGTGTATAACAAATAAGTTAACAATTAATAAATGTAATTTCTTGTAATTTGCATGTAAATAAAATTTAACTAAGGAGTGGGGCGTTCATTACACCACTAGTGGAATAATAGGGTTTATTACTCAACTCAAACAGTGCCGAATGAGTCCTGTAATAAGGCCGTTATAAAGCAGTTGTAGATAAAGTTGCTTATTTCTGTGGTGTCGCACAAGAAAAATAAAATGTATTATTTCGAGATACTGCGTGAAATAAAATAATAATTTTAATGATTCTTATTTAAACTGGAACAGTTAAAAACAGTTAAAAATCCTAACATGAACAGTGAATTTACAATCAATAAATTTACACCACGTGTTAATAACGTAATCAAAAATTCACGCATTTCCCATTAGTAAGACACCAATAATAATCAATTACGCTTGTGGGAAAAACTGTGGAGTCGCCGTCGGTACGATTAAGTTTCGTTTAAACAAAGGCTACTTTATGAAACTACCAAACCAAACTAAACTTAACCTACGTAATGCTTACCGCGTGGTGGCACCTAACCGGACAAACAAGTGACGCCACTAAACCAAAACGAGTCCGCTTTCTTACTACCAACCCTTCACTAAAAAAAATATTACCAACTTAAAGATTGACATTCACTAATTCCCTACACGAGCTACAAAACTACCAACTATAGCCCCTAGAAAACACATAGTATCGTCACCGTGGAGCAAACCTGGCGGAAACTTAACAAAACAAAAATTAATCACACCATTTGCAGACCTCGAAATTTAAAATGGTTTTATGTTGGATTTAAAGTTTGTAGTTTATATACAAAATATGGATTTTTAATTTGAATAAAATATAAAATTTAATCAATAAAATCTTATTTAATAACACAGTAGAACCAGTAGAACAGTGTTTTTGTTACATATATTTTCTAAACATGGTCGGAAAGGTAATTTTGTGCTGAACAACTCTTAAATAGATAATATACCCATGTCGTCAAAAAAAAAAAATTATTCAAATTTTTATTGTCGTCCGATGAAAAATTAGAAAAATGAAGTGAATTCTAATTTTACATAGAAAAACGCGCAAGAAGCACTAAAAAAATGTTCCACAGATTTCTGTCGACAGATATTTAATTACGTCTACGAATATTTAACCTGCCTAGAATATGTAGAAGGATCTAACTCTTTATAAAAGCCTCATGTATTCAGAAAGAATGGATACTTGGGTCTTTCTCTAAAATCTTTCTTCGGCTTTCTTGATTTCTCGATGAAAAGATTATCAGCAAAGAAATTTAAATGAGACATAATTTGTAGGAATGTTTGTTTCCTAAAACTTTACAGATCACTAAGCTAATTGATTCCCAAGTAAATTTATCCATATCATTCAAATAGGCGTAGAACATTTGATCCTTCATTTGAATTTCAGGCCCAATGAAAATTCGTAAATATAGAGAACGTACATAACATGAAAACTGAAATTCACTGCAATATTTTAGTTTTTACCTTGGTTTATGTTAGCAGCAGAAAGTTTAGGAAATATTGTTTTCATATGTTGAAATGCTTTCTCTCTTGTATTTCACTTGCATAAGAAGCACATATGTTTGGTATATCCAGATTGGAAGCCAGTTACTAAAGCTACAATTTTTAAATCGCCTATCAAATTGCACTCAAACTTTTTGTCGTTAATAAAGTTTAACAAGTGTTGAATATTCTCATATGTTTCTGTAGTTTGTATGGAGTATGCAGTCGGCAGTAGGTACTAGATATTTATTCCCATTATGCAATAGTACACTATCTATGAACAATCTCCAAAAAAAAAATGTTTTGACGACGTAGGCATAATGTCTTATTAGATAGTTATTCAGCACAAAATAACCTTTCAGAATACATTTTCAGAATGCTTGTAACAAGAAATTTTTCTAAAATTGTTCGACTGTGTAATTATTAGTTATATTAATTGACAATTAATTGACTTTAAACAAAAAGACTACACCAAGACCACGTGACAACAACGGTCTAGCGCTGTCAACTCTCTGTTGACACTATTTGGTTCCAAACCAGGGGAATTTTTTGCGTTACCAACTGCATTTGCCCCACTCGTACAACAATGGATGACGGTACTATGTATTTCGAGGGGCTATATTACCAACAAACAAAACTAAAGTTGCACATAGTTGTCTATGTTTACGGATTTTTTAAATTCATTTATCAAATTCAAATTATTCAAATGCAAACTGGTATATCACACTTTTAACATGTGTTGTTTGTTATGAAAAAGTCACTGGAAACATGCACATAGCATTCTTCTTTATCTATAATTTAACAGTTCAAACATATTTTTATTTTAACTTCTAGGTTGTAGGGGTGATCATAAAAAAAAATCGCAAAATCAAATTTTATAGTTTATGCATAAGACACTGGATTTGTTTGATTGTACTCCAAGCCTGAAGGAAGTTCTGTACCTAAATAACTTTGCATCAATTATTTAAACTGTTGGCTCTTTGTAAAATATGATGTCCCTTGTGTTACACCAGTGGAGACAATCGCCATAATGAATAAATTAAACGCTTTCACACTCTCACTCTTTCCTTTATTAGTTATTACATTCATTGGTTCATGGTTTAAACCAGGGATTTCACCGCACTCACATTTTCTTTCTTATAAAACCTTCTCCGAAACACTCCGAACCCCTCCGAACTGTCATTCTTCGACCAGTTCTCAATAGGTGCCGCCACTCATCCCTCCTCGCCCTTTACAGCTCCCTACCTTACCCGCGTCGTTGACAGCCCCCCTAAGCCGCCCGAACAGCTGGCGCACCACATGATCGATACACGTATAAAACCAAACGCACGTCCTCGCCAGTGTGCAGCCGAAAGCAACGTGTTCACAAGCCAAGCGCTCGCGACTGGGTGTGCAGACGACGACAAGTACCGGCGCGGTCCCAAGACGACCGCACGCACTATGACAGCCCCCTCGCGCCCCAGCAGCCGCATGCAGCACGCCGCCGAGCGCACGTTGCACGCATTCCGGGCGTAAATCGCGCCAGCGAATCCTCTTGACATATCGTGTTTACAAACAGTGACAATATGCCAGTGACTCTGCTCGACCGGCTCCCGATGCCCAATCTGAGGATGTACTCTTCGGGGAGTGTTGTGGCCCTGTCGGCGTGCGTCTATTACGCCACCCAGGTGATTAAGGACCCGAACTGGAGTGCCGCCGCCGATAGCGCGGACATCGTGGGCTTGCACAAGGAGGTGGTGGACTTGAACAAGAGCAATGCCTCGATGCCGGACGGCAGGAGCATGGGACAGTATGTTTCGGATGTGTTTAGTGTTATGATCAGGGAACCCGTCTGTGTTTGGGTAAGTTGAGGCTGGGCTGGGGACTCCCGTGGGGTATTAGCGGAGTGGTTGCACCCAAAATCCAAGGGGATTCGTAATCTGAATTTTGGGATACTTGGGAGTTGGGATACCCGGTGTAGCTGATTTTACTAGAAAAACTTTATGTAATGTTTAGATTTACTCATGTTTTTTTATTTTTGAAATATATACAGGCTGCCAAAAATATACTAGGTTTCTAACCTAGTTGGGTGCAATAACTCGTGGTTGTTAATGTTGGCGCAAAATCGATGTTAAAGCAATCGTTACGTTGTTGATTAAATAAACCCAAACTGTTTACGAGGGGTATTCGCGAAAGACCGAGAATGCCATTCTGCCATGCAGAAGAAAACTATGAAAGTTCTCGCAACCCTACATGATTAGATTACACAAGGCAGCAATTTTTGAACCATTTACTTAGTTTTTCATTATTATACATATATCTGCAAACCACTGGAATATGAAATCGTAGGTCCTCATTTCCGTACGTCTGCCTGTATGTCTGTCGCGATTTTATTGGAGAATTAATCTTAATTAATTCATTAGGTAATCAATTAATTCCCATGTAAATGGAATAGATTTCATAACATCATCTCAACATTTGTTTGAGTAAACCCGATTTAAAATGTGCAAAATATGTACTTCTATAGATACTATGGCTTATTGATTCACTGTTATTTGTAATTATAAACGTGTAAGTTTTTGGGAAAAATTTTAGTATTGTACAACAAAATTTTCCAAACTGTCTTAAAATTTCAAAACCGCTTATTCTGAAATTTTGCACACGGTTATTGTGAGCACGATAAGTCAGTAATCAGAGTTTTATCAGTTCATCTCTTCTAAAAACTTGTCGTCATCTTGAAAAGTTGATAGATATTTCATGTATATAATAGCTTACTTCTATACATGTGTGTCTTAGTAATATTCAGTAATTTGCAGAGAATTGACTAAAATTTATTGATTCCATTCTTTCCAGAAAGTTGCCATCACCAGAAAAATTAAATCAATGTTTATTAACACATATCCAGGTACATGATGTATCTTTGATGTTTGTTATTTTGGTTTAATTTTAGTTCCTAAAACGTGAACTAGGAAACTATTTTATTCGGGGCCAGTTTATGAATAGCTAATATTTAGGACACTTTACACGGGATGTCCGAAAATAATTAATGTATTTGGCTATAATTTTTTCATTTATTTCAAAAGCGACCTATTTAATTTCCCTGAAGTTCAAACGGTATAGAAATAACATGACAGCATTAATTATTATGTTAAAATTTAAATATTTTTGCTGAATAATAATTACGCTATAACAATGTCTATACCGAATTGATTGTGCTTCAGAAGGGCCACAAATTTTGTTTTAAATTGACCAATTTTTCTTATCGTTGTGATATATTTATTAAAATAAACCGACATTATGTGTGCTTCAAATTAAGGGTGAATATGGGTCTAATTTAATCTTCAGCATCCTTAATTCAAGTGCAAAATACAATTTTTATGCAAACTTGTGTGGTGCATAGGCTTTTTTCGCTTAGAGATTTTTTTTTTCTGCTATGACGTAAAAAATAAATGTTTTTACTTCCTGAGCGTAAATTAAGGAAGTATTGTAATCGAGTCCATCAACCGATTTCCTATCTTTATATTGGGGGTAGCCTCTTCGTTCGTTTAGAGCGTCCTCAGAAATGTATATGAAGTGTCACGACCTTATAATAGAAAGTTGGACGAATCAAAACTTTCCACTAAAATAAAAAGTCAAACAAAGCCGAGTTCATGGACGAGGATATATTTAGTAATTATTAATATTATTATTGAGAAAATTTTTGAAAGTGAATTTAGCTAAAATCTCCGAGTTGGAGTTCAATATTATTACACGCTTTGTGAATGTGACAGTTTGAAGTTTGTGTTCAATTATTAAAGCTCGCTGCGCTCGCTACTAGTTTTCATTTTAATATCTGCTGTTTCTTTAATTTGTGGTAATTTTACACGAATTTTAAATCAACTTTTTGATCTATTGGGTCAAATTTAAGTATTGAATTGATCTTGGTAAGTGCGACATAATTTTAGTTTCTGTGCGTAAGCTAAGGAAGTATTGTAACCGAATTCATTGAGCGACTGGTTACTTTTATATTTTCTCGATGCTTCATGACCCCTAGGGTGCGAAAAATAGGTCTCCTGTTTCCATCTGTCTGTCTGCTGTCTGTCCGGATTTTTATTGGACAGATAATCTCTGAAACTACTGGACCGATTGCTATCAGATTTTGTAAGTACATATATGTATTAGGAAGATCGTGTAGATGGTAAAACACCAATCAAAATTTGGCAAATTATCCCCACCAACAATAGGATTACATTAGGTCCAAAATTTACGTTAGTAAGTATTATTTAAATTGTACAAAGTAATATACTCCTGCACATGTGGTTTATGAATCCGTGTTGAGTTTTTACCGTAGGTATTCAGATTTTTAGCAAGCATGATAAATTGTTAATCAAATTTTTTTTGGTCATGCCCCCTAAAAAAGTAATGAGTAACAATGTTTTATAATTTAACTTTGCACTTGCAGAAATCAAATGTTGTGAAATCTTTTAAATTACATATTTTTAAATTATTGGAGGCATGGTAAATTGTTAATCAAAAATTTTCTGTGGTCTTACAATTTTCGTTAATTAATTAATCAGTCCTCCCTTCTGGGTTGGGGAGACAAAATCAAATTTCATTTTCTTTTAACCCCAGATGTTTGTAAACTGAATATGCTAATCGTCGAAGTTAAGCATGTATTGACCGTACTCCTTCGAAATTTGTGCCTTCAGGGGTGTAATTGCGCCACTGGTTTTTACCTTATAGAGGTTATCACAAAACGAAAATCGTAAATTTAACAATTTTTTAAAAAGGGATTTGTCAGACTATACTTCAAGGGTGAGGGAAGTTCTGTTGAAAAAATCTTCGATCAATTTTTTTCTTGTATAACTGATTCGAGTGTATAATACCAAAGTTTTATATAGAAATAAGTCAGGGTTTGTGTGTGGTTTTCACTAAATCCTAAAGAAAAACAGCTTAAGTTAATATATTTATGCAAAAATATGTATAATTTCAGCAAATATGATGTTCCGGCTCGAAGACCAATGTTTCGGCTCGAAGACCAATGTTTCGGCTTGATTGCCAATGTTTCGTACAACCCGAATCGTAGTACCAACGTTTTTTGTAATTGTTGATACGACCATGTATGGTCTTCCGAATTGTACCTTGATATTGCTCGAAGGACCTTTGTTTGCTATAATTGAAATAATGGACAGCGTTCGGTTTTGATGTTTAATGTAGGACGGTTACAGAAGTACTTAAATTACAGAGCTATTTACAAAAACAGGTAAAGATACCCAAAAGGGTCAGTGGCCGCTTCCGGAAATGCAACATATGATAACAATAATGTAATTATGTAGAGTCAAAATAATGTCTTATTTTTTGTCTTTGTATTTATCTTTTTTACTTGTTTAATAAACATAGAGATGGGGTTACGGTTTTACGAACTTTAAGGGCCGGTTGCATAAACGCAAATCAAATTTAATCTCTAATTAAGAACAATTGTAACTATGATAATAACAATCGTTACTATGGAGTTAATCAGAGATTAAATTTGATTTGCGTTTATGCAACCGGCCCTAAAGGTTACAACTATAGATTTAAGGAACAATGGAAGGAAATCAATTATAAAAGTATCTCATACACAGTCATACATAATAATTGATTGAAAAGGTCATTTACCAGTTGCAGTTTTTTTAATAAAAATTTTTTTGTAGTTTATCACTGTATTGATTCGTATCAAATACATCGGGTGTACTAGGGCCATTTATATCAGCATCGTAGATCAACACTTAATGTTAAAAGCGTAAAAAGGTTGACTTGTCAGGATTCGAACCATTGTGATAAATTTTTGAGCTACTAAGTAATCCAACTATTTTCCGAATTGAATTATTCAATTAAAGAGTGTAAAAACTCATTTTTTTAATAAATGTCCAATCTTAACGACATTTTGACATAAGATGGTAAGATCCCTGGGAAAAGATAAAGATATTGTAAAAAGAATTATTAACGCATCTGTTGAGAAATGAAATCCTGGTCCTGAATTTCTTGTTTTTGTTTTCAAAGACGTCTCACTTTTAATGTTTGTCAGTTTTCAACTAATGAGTGTTCGAACAAGTGAAAAGCGATTTTTAATCGGTATTTTACGACTTCGCTTATTACTGAGCTACTTAACAGGTACGTGTCACGGAGAACACGGTGACGATTCCGAGAATTGGAAGAAAGTTCCCGGAATTCTGAGTTCTGCAGGCGAATCTTTCGTTAATTGTTCGGAGAATTTCTGACATCTGCAGCAGAATGAAAAGCTGCTCGGAGGGATCAGTTTCGAGGAAGTTTCATTCATTTCGATACTTGAACTACGTACTTTCCAGCTTTCATGTTTTATATTTTACGAATTTGTATTTGCTGTTGAAATTGTAACAAGGTTTTTAGGAAAATATTTGCATAGATAATTGTTATTAATTTGAGAGGTTGCAACAAGAATGAACGACAGTTTTTTGAGACTGAATATTATAAAATTACCAATCGACTAGATGAAATTTAAAATTTGGGACAAACTTGTCAAATTGTAAAAAACATAAATGCTTAATTTTGTAAAAAAAAAATTTGAAGCCAGGTATGTTTACAGTCACCAATTTATCTTATCTATAGCAATAAAATATTTAATTGCATCCTGTATATACGTCATTAAGGATTTTCCAACTGGTTATGCCGGAAAATTCAAGGAAAGCAGGAAAATATGTAAACTGTTAACATAATTAACTATAACTGAAGTTCAACTAAACTAATTTTCTGTAATAAGAAAGAATGATAAAAATTATGTACATTTTTACATTAAAAAAAAAAATAAGCTTTTATACAGGGCGCCCAAAAAAAAACAAAAAGGAAGACCAACCTTCTAAATATA